TTAATCAAACGATATAAAATCAAACTATAAAAATAGCATTTTAATAAAAAAAGATAAAAAAAATATATAAATAAACCATCAATCTTCCTTTATTTTGAATTTCCAAACAACAACAAATAAATCAAATCCTAATTATATATTACATTATCCAATAAAAGATAAAAGATATAAAAAAAAGATAAACAATAACTTTCCTTTATCTTTAATCTCCAATCAACAAACAAATAAATTTCCCTCTATATAAAGACCATTAGATACTGAGGAGAATAGTGAGAAGAATACTTAGAAGAGTAAAGATCATATAATTCTGCAGCCAGAAAGTATAAGGACTTATTATGAGCGTAATCATGTCAGCACCATCACAAACAGGTAAGTTTCAGAAGTAGTGATTCATGTTCATGTATATTGATTTCAATAATCTTATAATTTAAGATTTCATATGTTTTTAATGCTATTATTCAGGACCATTCTACGGCATAAGAATGTTTGGGATGAATCAAAGTTTGTACAGCATAACCATCATGGGCACTGGGCTCACTACTCTCATGCCTGCAGCTACTTTCAGACTCAGCATGAGAGTTTTTTCTCAATTAGTTCCAGTTCAACTACAAGGTCCTCCTTTTACTCTTATACCAAGCCAAACCTTGTTCCAAGAGGCTCCAGATTTCTTGCGGACACTGTTTTCGCCACTGCTATCACTGTCATCACCGTTATCGCCACCCTCATCGCTTAGGCTCTTCGACACTGACATTATTGAAACACTGGTAAACATGGGTGCTGATGAAATTCGAAGAATCATTCACATTGATGATCATGCCGCTACTTCTTCAGAATCTCAACCCCCAGAAATTCCTCTCTGGATTGTAATCAATGTTACTGAAAACAGCATTCATGCAACAACACAATATCTTTTAAGAATGGTTCCAGCAGCCGAAAAACTCGTTGACACGTTGTTGAAGAAATCTATGATGTTACAGAGTGAGTGTTGTTGCATATGCTTGGATGAATTTGATCTCAATGTTGAACGCTACACACTTCCATGTCGACACTTCTTTCATCAAAAATGTATTACGCGCTGGCTACAAACCCATCAGACCTGTCCCATGTGTCGCCAACCTCTGCGAATCCTAAAAGACTAGCAACAAACGTTTCACGATTAGGGTTTTCTTTATTTAGTATACTATTTCAATAATTTAAAGTAGAGAAGATTTTATTTAAATTTTATACGTTTGTGAGAAATAAATTAGTGTAACGAAAACTTTATTTGTTGAAGTGTAACATTCTGGTGGGATTATTTGTTTGGTGGATGTCTTTGTTAACAAACTACTAGTATCACGGGTTTGAGTCCGGTTTAATTGGAAAAAAATGCAAAATTTTTTATGCGAGTCAATTTTGACCCGGTTCACTAAGAACCCGGCTCACACGGGTTGAACCCGTGGTGGGTTGGGTTGGCTCACCAATCCACATTTTTTTTAATTAAATTAATTATTCAAATCCTATTTTTTTATTGAAATCAAATTAATTAAATTAATTATTCAAAATGCACAACCTTTACTTAGCAATAGAGCCTTTCGCGTTATTGTTATAGATTGAATAATATTATAGATGGAGATAAAGAAAAATATGCTTCAAGAGAGCATAATAATGTGAATTTATCCATTCAAGACTCCAATTTAATAGATGGATAATATTATAGATTGCATAATTCAGAAATATATCATTTGTTTGATTTTGTTTTTAGACCTATTTACAAGCATGACAGTTTTATCTTGTGCTATATATTTTTGTTAATGGCTATATGTAGTTTCTTGGTCAAACGGTTGTGTATATCTCATTAAACTAAATTGGCAAAATTTTATGCTTGATAACTTATAATATATATAACAGTATATTTCTTTTGTTTCATTTTCTTTTATATCAATTGGTCCAATTATTGCGGTTTCAATTTGATCGATCAAAGTAACATGTCCAGAATCTGAGAAGAAGAGGGTGAAAAAAAAGTTAATTGAGTCAATGAGCCAATCCGTTGAACCCACCAACCTGTAGTGGGTCGGGTTCAAATTTTTTCGGCTTTCTAATAAATGAGTCGGATTGGATTGACTCACTAAGTCACCAACCCGTGGTGGGTCGGGTCGGATTGGACCAGGTTACCCGTTTTGACAGCTCTACAAACTACAATGTTCTTAGTTGTTTTATTGAATGTGTATATGCAGTAGTGTTACTTACTGGTTATATTTAAGCAGAAAAAAGAAAGATCTAATCAAGATGGTGTTTTTTTAGTCAAGGATCATTTATGGTTATTCATATAAGCCTAATTATAGTTTCAGTGATTTATCTTTTCACTTATGTTTATCGGTTAATAATTCAAACATAATTACTGTTTGAATTAGTTACAAAATAAAGTTTTTTTATAAAATATTTTCATTATATATAGTGATGGCTTTTTAAATGGATCTCAACTAAATTACTTTGATATATAGGTTAAAGTTCCTTACCAATGTGCTGATGTTAGTATTGTTTTGTTTACCTTTTATGGCTAACTTAAACTAGAGTCATGTTAAATTTAGTTTCATTATGTACCTTATATGATATCAAGAATTTTAAGTGATATAACGTATAAACTTAAATATTGTAAGATTCAATCAATGACTTATATATAGAATTCACCATCATATACGTGATGGACAAAATCAGTCACCAGTGTACTCTTATATGCTTTTGCATAAAGATCTCATTTAGCTCTTAATACGTCTTCTGTTTATTTTTCATTCTTTTTGAACAGTGCTCTTCAAGCTTTTGTTTTATGAATAAAAATAAATTGGAGGAGGAAAAAGGGGTTGGGGAATTTCAAAACCAAGGAATCTGAATCCTGAACATGAATGATATGTTCTCTAAGTTCTCACGACTGAACTATACAAATAAACCTTATATTTGATTGAGCATTTTCGTTATCATTGTCATGTAGCATCCATCTTGTGTGAGAGTTTGACTGCTTACTTACGGAAAAACTTAGCATGAACACAGAAAGATACTTCTCATTCCTTTGGCATTGCAAATTGAAAAATCATACAAAGACATCATACAGTTATCTAATGATACTTTTTATAACATTCAACGGTAAAAAAAGAACTACATGGTTGCCCCTTGAGCCAAATAATAGGCAGAACATACAAGAGTTCTCCCTCCCTGTTGTGATATCCGTTGTATACTACCCTTAATGATTCTTTACAGCTTGTCAGCCTCCAAACGCCTGAATGGAACAGTTGCTGCTGTAACCATGTTCCCCCCTCTTCTTTAATTTACAGATACAAAAACTGCTTGGTCAGTAAGAATGAGTAAATAAACATTTTCCTTGAACTGGATGGCAGACGCAGACATTCTAACGGCAGCAAAAACAATTCTCCAGCACTCCATTTACACCTTAAGAAAATGTGAATCTTGAGAAAAGTGATAGGCCAGATCCTGAAGTATCACTTGCAGGAGTAGGTGGAACTTCCGTTGAGGTGTGATATGCCTGTTGACACTTCTGCATCTGCACTCAGGATGCAGAAAATTGTTTCATTTTCAGCCACCAAAAAGACAGAACTTTTGATTTTAAAAAAAAAAAGTTACTTATATTCTGTTGGCCATTAAAAGAAATTGCTGTAACATAAAAAAATTAATAAAAATAACTTTTGACTTCTCTAAGAGAGTTATATCAGAAAATTTATAAGGTTAATTTATGGATCAGCCTTTGTTTCAGTGGAACATATTCAGTCTTGTCGTAAAAGAACTTGGAAGTTATTTCAGAGCGATTTCCAATGAAAAAACCCTTAATTTTAATTTTTTATATGTGATAACATTGTACAGAGTGCACCCATTTACTTGGCGCAAGTTCATTCCTAGTAACCATGAAGTCTTATCCTAAGATGCAAAGTAGAAGATGACAAAATTACCTCTTCTGGACTAAACTGAAGCAGCATTCCAATAACCGGAAGCAATACCTCAACTTCACCTGGTAAAATAGAATAGTCACGTTAATAGCTTCTCAATCTAGTTAATGAGTATAAAGGAGATAAAAGAAGGATTACTTTATTTTTTTTTTTTAAAATAATACCAGTCTCAAGCAGCTTTAATATAACATTCTTCAAATATGTCATATCTACACCTTCCCTTTTCTTAGATCTTTCCATGTTGCGAAGCTCAGTCTTTAACATTGCCTCCTACAGTTAGAATATTTGGAAATTCATAAGCCTAGATTCTCATAAACAAAAACAACAAAAGTGTTATCCTACTTGGGGGGTCGATTGCATGGATCATTCAACACCATTCGACTAGGTTTCTATAAAGGTGTAATTAAAATAAAATAGTTCTAACGAATGCTCCTTTATCTGTTTATTTTTCAAGTCACAAATTTAAAAAATGTAGCAACAGAAAATTGCCCTACCAAAAAATTGCAAGCAATACATACAAGTACTATCTGGGAGACTTTTCCCTCAAAAAAGAAGCTACTAAAATTATGGGATATCAGAGACAGAGTGAGGAAAAGAAAAACAGAGACTAAATGCTCTGAATTTGATATTAACTTGATATATTACAATGCATATAATGTGATACCAAAATAAAAGTAATAATTTTTGTTTATTCTAATATTAGAACATAATCCTTAAGAAATCTGAAAACTAATCCTATGAGTTGGTCTAAGATACTCTAAATTATTCTTATGACATAAGCAAGATACTAAATTATATTTTTTTTCATATATCTTAACACTCCCCCCACCAAGCTATAGCCTACTAAGACTTAAGGTTGCTACAAATAAGGCCTTTAAACACAACCTCAGCTCCGCCAAACATGCTGTTGGTTTAGACCAAGACTATCTGATGACAATCATTCCAGTGACTTCTTTTCACCAGTGATTCATACAACGATGAATTTGTTGTGCTGCATATTGGACTCGATAGGAATGGTACTAATGATGAATGCTCCTATCACATTGATATAGTAACGATTCTTGAGGTGATGAATTTCTGCCTTTGTCATGTAACATTCCAACCAGCTCTCTAGGATGATATCAGATCCACCAAAACAATGAGAATAGGTGGGTTTTTGGGACTGAAGACTGGATGGGCAATAGTGTCTAGGACCAGAGAACACGGCTGAAGCCATGTCTACGGCAAACACTGGTCAGGTTGCATTTAGGACAAGAATCAATGAGATTAGATTGTGTTAGAGATTAGTTATCAAAAAAATTGGTAAATATCTAGTTCCAATAACATGGTTATCAAAAAACAATATTGTACGTGAGATCAAGACCAAGGACAATAAAGATAAGGCCAGAATGCAACTGGATATGACAACAGAGAGAAGATGACACCAAACAGCACTGAAAATGTAAAGAGGATATATTGGGGACAACAATGGCACTATTGCAGGTTGACTCAATTATCCCATGACAGAGATCAAGTGGACTAAGTTACCCTCTTTTGTAGAAAGACATACCTTCTTACTTTAACTACAGTTTTTTGCTTAGTGATAAGCATTTGATCCAACAATTAGTATAAAAGCTAAGGTCACGAATTAAATTTCAAGTGGGGAAATTATTAAGGGGGAGATTATTATAGGTTGCATCAATTGTCCTGGGATGAAGACAAAGTGGACCAAGCCACAATTAAACAGTTAGCTTCCTAACAAAACAATTGTTGAGGGAAAGATTTTTTACAGGGTACATCAATTGTCCTGCAACAGAGACTAAGTAAGCTAGGTCACAATTGAATCGTAGTATTTGGATTGTTACACTCTTCAATATAAAAGTTGCACCTTGACTATTAGATATAATTTTTAGCCTAGTAGTATGCGCCCAATTTAACAGAGACAAGGTCAGCACTGCAAAAAGTAAGGAAAACAGTGACTGGATGCACTGTTACATGGAAAATAGTGACAATGCAGATGGAAATTGTGTTGGAGTAATTGCATGAGCATATGGTATCCAAGTTCAGATGAGATGAAACCAGGGGGGTTTGGCCAGAGTTTGGGGAGTGAATCTGATCTTGTGGTCAGCAACCTGAACTGGTGATGGCCAGTGGAAGAGCTGGAAAAGCAGCAAAAGGTGACCAGAAATGTGACAGAATAAAAAAAGTCAGCATGATATAAGCAAAAAGGGGCCATAAATGATGGCAGTCTTGGCGATACAATACTGGCAATGACCAAATGGGAGGTTCCGAAATGAGGCATGATAGGAAAGATGACTAATTTGAAGAAAGAATCATGAAATAGAGGCCTCAGAATTTTAGGAAACTCAACAGTGTAGTTGTTAGGATATAGGGTATTTGGGATATAAGGGTATAATGGGAAATGGGATTAGGATAGAAGGTAGAGGAATTGTATAAATAGATTATTTGGATAGTTAGAAGGCAGTTTTTGGGTAGTTGATTTGTTAACAGGCTTAGTCCTGTGAAAGGGGTTATGCCCTTGTTTCTGTAAGTGTCCAGAGTATTCTTTTGTGAATAATACATAGTTTTGTTCCCATTCTTGTTATTTTTCTGTTCTGAGAGGTGGTTTAGAGGGTTCTTGACTAGGTTTCTTAATCGGAAACCTATCAATTGGTCCGACCTGCCGGATCCCAATTGGAGGAGTGAAGCACGCGCGTGATGGAGAGCAGAGTGTTGGCGGTAGAAGGTCAGCTGGAGGCGGTAGAGATTACGCTGGCCGAAACAAAGGCGGATATGGTCTTCTTGCGGCAGAACCAGGAGGCAATGTGCCGAGACATCCAAGCGATTCTAAAATTGTTGGGAGATCGCAAACAAGACCCACACGGGCCGCGTCGTGAGGGTAGTGAATCCTCCGTAAATGATAACGACGGCGAACCGGAAGGGGAAAGAGGAAGACGAGGAGTAGAGCGACAAGACGGACAAATTAATTGGAGAAAACAGTTGGAAAACGGGTGGAGTTACCCGTGTTCGAAGGTGGAAAACAGTGGAACTGGATCAGTAGGGCGGAAAAGTTCTTTGAGGTGCAGAGAGTGGACGAAGACGAGAAATTACAACTGGCTTTCATTAGTATGGAGGGGTATGCGGGGAGTTGGTTTCGATTTTGGAGAGAGAAAACCAAGAACCATTCTTGGGAAGGGTTGAAGAGAGCTTTGGGGATTAGGTTCGGGGGAGGAACGAGGGGAACTGTTTACGAGAAATTGTCGACCATCAAGCAGGTCGGAACGGTGGAGGATTATGTCAGGGAGTTCGAGACGCTGGTGGGACAGACATCCAAGATTCCAGAGGAGCAAATTCTAGGTTACTTCATGGCGGGACTCCAGGAAGAGGTGGGAGACCATGTCAGGCCGCACGACCCACCAGACCTGATGACGGCGATGCAGGTGGCGCGAGATGTGGAGAGATTTACAGTCTCGAGAAAGGAAGGAGGATCGGCGCCCAAGAATCAAGGTCCGTGGGGACGATCGGCGGGGGCTGTTACGCGAGTAGAGTTCCAACGCGATACGCAGAGTCAAGGAGGGCCGCGGAAAGTGTCGGTTCCGTGAAGAAAGAGGCGACCCTCGGAGGCGGCGCTGCAAGAACCACTGACGACTGGAGGGAAAGGAATACCCGCAACCTACCATATTCGGAGTAAGTGAAAAGGAGAGAAGAGGGAAGATGCTTCCGGTGCGAAGGGCCTTTCAGCCCAGGTCATCGATGTCCAGAGCGGGGATTGCAAATGTTGATCTTGGCCGAAGAAGAAGAGGAAAATGTGCCACCGCCCAAGCCCCCTGATTCGAATTGAAGGGCAAAGCCAGTGGGTAATCCGATGAGGAAGAAGAACCATGAGACCAAGCCTCCCCATTCCAACCTTGAGGACAAGGTTGTTCTGAAGAGGGGTGTAATGTTAGGATATAGGGTATTTGGGATATAAGGGTATAATGGGAAATGGGATTAGGATAGAAGGTAGAGGAATTGTATAAATAGATTGTTTGGATAGTTAGAAGGTAGTTTTTGGGTAGTTGATTTGTTAACAGGTTTAGTCATGTGAAAGGGGTTATGCCCTTGTTTCTGTAAGTGTCCAGAGTATTCTTTTGTGAATAATACACAGTTTTGTTCCCATTCTTGTTATCTTTCTGTACTGAGAGGTGGTTTAGAAGGTTCTTGACTAGGTTTCTTAATCGGAAACCTATCAGTAGTAGTGATAAAATAAGTCATGGAGGATGCTATTGCTCTAATACCATGTAAAAGTTAACAGTTTTTAGGTACAGGGGGAGGAAAAAGATAGGGACAACACAAAGGAACGTTTTGATTTCTATTACCAAAAACTGTTATAATTTTTAAAAACTAAAAATATGAAAATTTGTTTGGTGTTTTGCTTTTGAAAAACAGGGACACGACGTACAGAACTACAGGCAAAAATACAGGAAGGATGTACGATGCCTTTCAAAAGCCAATCCAGTCTATGCGTACATTTCAAATTGGGTCTATTTTTAAGTTTCACGGGTTATAAACAAATTATGTTGACACAGTATTCGATCTGACCTTGCTGAGAATTAGCTCAGAGACTCCATCGATAATGAGAAAACAGAGGAAGAGGAAGAAGGTGAGAAAACATATCCCGGATGTTCTGTTTTTTTAGTTTTTAAAACACCTGTTTTGAAAACTTAATAGACTTAATGTGAAAAATGTGTTGAGACAAGTACAATTGTTCTAGAAATAATATAAAACTACAAAGTGATAGGAGAATAGAAAAGACTATACATATTCTGAGATTGGTCTTAACTTGATAAGATGCTGTAACGTATTACGATATGGTACAAAAACAAAATGTACCAACCCTTACATATATCATAATCCTAACTAAGCAAGGAAATAAATCATGAGATAACAAGGAAATACAAAAACCAAGCTTAGGCAATAATAAGTAAATATGGAAACTAATACAGACATAACCAAAGATGCTCTAAATCATCCCTAACAAATAATCAAAATATTATTAGAATTTTTCTTATGTCATATCAAACAATTGCAAACAGCAAAACTTTCTATGAAAGGCTACAAGTTTTTCAGCTAAAGTGCCTAGGATTGTTGGATCAGTTGGGAAAACTGAATTCAGTCAATGAACAATTCAGTCTTTTCCACTTATCAACCTTATGTTTTTAATTATAAAACAGTGACCCTTTAACTTGCTTAACGTATCTATATTCAATACCAGCAATAGTGAATACTTCAATACATATATGTGAAGTATCAAGTGTCCATGCCTTTAAAAGAAGTTACGTAAAGCAAAAACAACTACATAGGAGATATATAAGCATGTATAATATAGAAGTATATCTCTCGATGAACCAAAAAGGGTAATTGTTTTTGAGAATGATTACAAGACAGGAATGAGATTGATATCATTCCCATTTTAAGACATAAAAAACTTATATATGATGACAGTGATTTATAAATGCAATTTTTATTTTAGTAATGTCCAAGTATATTCTTAATTTGAATTTGTAGAACTGCAATTATATATTTATCTCTTTACGGATTCACACACCTGCATATGTGTAGACGTGTACGGTACATGTATTGTATCATACATAATTTTAGAATAATTGTATAGGCATATGCGATACGCATAACACACTCATGCATAGTAAAGCATGCCATTAGCAGCATCACTTGTCTGCCCTTCAGCACTCTAAAAGGTAAAGTTTTCGTTTTTCAAGTCTTAAGGGAATCTATGATGTAAAATCAAAATAGAACTTCAGTTTTAAATAAACATAGAAAACTACTAGTCCAGCAATAAAAGAAACCTTTTAAGAGACATTTATGAAATATTTTCATATGGAAATACAATTACAAAACTTTGGCACATATAAATACCTGTTGGTTGTGGAGACGATTCTCATGTTCAAGCTCTTCAATTTCTTCCTAAAACACCAACAGTATATCATATAGTATTGCAAATGAAAGAGAGAAGACCAGATGGGTGATGAAATAGATGTTCCAAAAATGTCAACACATACTTGAAGAGCTAAAATATGACGCTGTGACTGTGCTAACTCCTCCTCTCTTTGCGCTTGTTGTCTAGCCAAAAGCTGAAATTATGACAGAATGTTTATTGAAAAAAAGATGAAATGATAGAATCTAAAAAAAAATACGGAATACATGCAATAGAATCTGAAAGAAATAGTTTTGTATATTTTGAATTAAAAACCTCTCCTCAAGTTCCAGAACATTCCCCCCTCAAAAAACTAACAGAGAGATGGTGAGATCACTAAAACAGTTGTTTTTTTCTCTCAAATCTGACCAAAGTGCTACGCACTACTTCCAAAATAGAGGAAAAAAACAACATAACATTACAGATAAATGATTTAAACTGAAAAGTGAGAATGAAAAGAGCTATACCAGAATTTGCTGTTCTGCAGCAGAGGGGCTTAAATTTGTTGAATCCAATTTATGTGAGGCTGTAAATAACAGTTGAAGAAAGAAATGTCACTACGACCCCTAAATGTTTGATTTGTGAAAGAATTTAACAACAGTATGATAAAATATCCGTAACATTGAAGAGATGCTTAAAATAAACTTTGCAAATGGAACAACTTCTGTCGTAATAAAAATAATTTAATACCTGTTGTGTAAGAATCATTTTGATCGACCTGACATCATTTGACAGCATTGTGAAAGCAGCAAAATGAAAATACCAGACCATGAAATGAATACAGGATCAATCTCTTAAATCTCATGATATTGAAAAGGCTGATAAAGAAACATACTAGTGGTCTTGATTGAAGAGACTGGCGAAGGTTTTTATTTTCATCTAAAAGTCTGGATATTTCATAATCTTTCTCCTCAATCGTCCTATCAGCAAGATCATGAAATGAAGTGTGCTCTTCCTAAAAGTTAAAGATTCAATTAGCTCAACAGACAGGAATGGGGAGGCCATGCACAGGTTTAATGATATGCAGATTACCTTCAGTTTTTTAAATCGTTGTTTGAGCTCTTCCAATTCCTTTTGCTTATCTTTTGTGGCAGTTGCTTCATTTTCAGCCTTAATTGCCTCACATTTGACTGCAAAGTTTGATCTCAGTTAACATCCTATACAAAACTCAGACAGGAAAATCAAAGAAGGTATAGGTAACTATTTAACAATGTAGCAGAGTGCACTACTTCTCCATGTTTCTTCTACATTTTGAAGACTTAGTCCCCATTCCTCTTTCTCTTTTAGGTGCTGAGCATTAACTGAGTCAAGCTTTATTTCCAAGCTCCTTATCTGTTGCTTGACATTTTCAAGGGTTGTGTCTCTGAAAATCATAAAATGAGAGGTTGTGATTGCTCCACACTCAACAGTAAGAAGGGAATTACTATAGTGTATCCAACTTTTTACCCAAACCATAAGCACAAATCAATGACATGCAATTTTTTCACAAAATCAGTTACTTCCGAGTCATCTTTTCCTTCCAACTATATGCTCGTAATTATCTAGTATTTAAAATCAGGTGAACAAACCATAAAGATTTGTCAATATATATGACACCTTTCTGCAAGTTCCTTCTCATGATTAGCCATAGCGGATTGAAGATCTTGAAGAACTTTATCCCTTTCTTCTGTTATTGATAAGACTTCATTTTCAACCTCCTGGAGAAAATTAAGAATGTAATTGGTGATTAATTTACATACGCTACTTGAACAATGTCTTCTACAAAAGACTGATAAAATGTACTTTCAGAGTTTCCTCTAGAGCTCTGAGTTGTTCAGAATCTTTAGCAGCCACCAGTTCAGCATCTTTCTTTTGAAGAAGTGCATGTGCACGAACTTTGTATGAAGAAAATTCCTTTTCTAGAGAGCGGATCTGCAGAGACACAATAACCCACGTCAAACATCAGACATGTAGTTTTGTAAATGATTTGTCTTGTCTTTGTATGTCTGCTGACAAGGGACTAATCAGCAACCATTCAAGGGATAGCACTATCTTGTCAATTATAGGCTGCATTGTTAAGAAATATAAAGAGATGAAAATATCAGATTCTTTAAAGTAATAACTATCTTGCCATCCTAGTAGTGTCAATTCTATGACAAATCATTCCAACAAAAAACTCAAATTGCACCAATTTACTATTACTCAACAATACCAGATACAACTTAGAAACAGGATTGTCTCCTAGAACAAGGATTCTATATGACAACTGTTAGTAGTGGACTTTAAGCCTAACTCAACCCCACAAAACCAGCTTGTAAGGTGAGGTTTGCATCTCACTTATATATTATAATTTGGCCTTATCTCTAGTCGATGTGGGACTTCCAACACGCCTCCTTCACGCCGAGGTATAGACATCTCGTGCGTGATAGTAGAAATTGGGTGGTCCGATAACGGCCCGATAGCGAGTGGAATAGAAGAATAAAATGCCCACTTAGAACTCGCTAGGATAGACTCCAACTATGGCTCTGATACCATGTTAGTAGTGGACTTTAAGCCTAACTCAACCCCACAAAACCGGCTTGTAAGGTGAGGTTTGCACCTCACTTATATATTATAATTTGACCTTATCTCTAGTCGATGTGGGACTTCCAACAACAACAAATTATTACATAACATACTTTCTAATTTACATAAGAAAATATGCTGAAGCTCAATAAAACTCTTTAAGCTACAAGAACAAGCTATAGATCAACATTGATTTAGTTTGTTTAATTTACTCCAAGTTTATTACTAATGGAAGTATAAGTAGAACCTCTTCTTTAGCAGCCAACAATTCCACATCTCTCATATTGAGGATCCTTGTTTGGGCAGATACCTCTGATTCTAGCTGACCTGACAATTGTCAAAAGCATAAATAAGCATATTAAAATGAATGAGAAATCTTATAGAAATAGAAGGATCAAAATGTACTTCTTATTTTGGCTACTTCAACTTCTGCATGTATGCAGTTGCTCTCTGCAATGTCGAGTTTTGCTTTGAGTGCTTGTGAAGCAGTCTCCCAGCTTTCCCTTTCTTTTTCCTGAACACACCACAAATAAAGATTAAAGCACCCAAATTACAAAAACAGTTAAGTATTAAATTTAGAAACAAAAAGACCTCCAAATTTCCAAACATTCCCATTTCTCTTCAAACACTCCTCCTTTATGCCTATGCAAAAGTGAGTTCCAGTAAAAGGCACCCCATAGGATTAAAACCACAAGTTTCTTCCACTTGCGAAGGGATAGAACATTTGTGACAAGTAAATTAACATATGTAAAAATTAAAGACCATTCTCTGAAAGATAAACCATAGAGGAATTTAATTAAGTGATTAAACATCTAAAATAAGTGTTTCAGTTAACTAACTTCTGAGAAGTCAATGCCCCATGGACAACTTCATTCCTGATCGTACAAGCATAATTTTAGGGGAAAGCACAACCCAAATTATTAGTTAAGGAAATCATTTATCCGTTTCAACAAATGCACCTAGAAATAAATGCATCGTTTAAATTTGCATAAAAATTAAGTGATCAATAAATTACAATTCTAGATGCTTCCATGTCTACGAGACACCAAAATTGATGAATAGAATAAGTGACAAAATGTCCCTATATAGTTATTCAGTCAGTTACTGAGTGGATTCAAGTTCAAGTTATATATAGTGACATACACAATAGTTAATGAGACATTACACACAATGATGTAATTTTGCATGCTTTATTTTCTATTAATTTTAAAATTGAATTTATGCATTATTGAACTGATTTTGTACGTTGCTTAAATGTAAAGGTAAAAAAAAATGCCAGATATATGCAAATATCATAACAAACACTCTTGTTTAAGGAAAAGGGAGAAAAGGAAGAGAAATCAACACAAAGTGGAACACTAATTTACTCATTCAGAAGTCAGGAGGACCATACATGCTCCTCTTTTAGGTGAGAAAGCTCCCCTTTCACACTTTCCACCACCGCTCTGAGTCGTGCTGCTTCCCCGGTTGATGCTGCTTCCATCTCTGCAATTCTGGATTCTTTTTCTGCAACTAGAACCTGGAGGCATTAGTGAATGGAGCAAGGTTAGGTCATCAGCTAGAAACTTCTGGCATGTTCAGGAGCACATTTACTTATAGATGAAATGAGTGGCACCACTTAATCAATGCAGAAAATAAATTTTATTGTCTATTACGACTCTTAATTATCTATAAAACTAGCCCATAACTTAATATTCCTGAGAGAATTTAACTTGTTAAATATGTAAGACACTATCTGCTACAAATACACACAATTTTATATGAATTGTTGAATTTAAATTCAAGTTAAATATTCAAGAAAGAATACATGCTAGACAATAACAAATTTGTATGAAATGCCCAAGAATAAGAAACACATCAGCTGCTGCAGCTCATCCTCAAATGTGTCCAATTCAGATTAATTCAAGGCCTAGTAACAGCTCAAAGGAAAAAGCTTGAACCTTAACAAAATTAGATTGGTTGGTGGTTTCTGATCCCAAACTCACCTACAACCTTGAGCCCTAGCAGGCATTTATTCAAAAGAAGCTGCTCACTAAAATAGCCAACCATAAACAGCTCTATATGAATAAATCATAAAAATTTGCAAATCAGCACTCCTTCAACCAGCTCATGGAACAAAATTTTCAACTCAGAAAAGCATCCTTTTTTCCCCATCTTGAAACACAACAAGTATGGAAAGAGCTCATGACCAACGAACTAACCTGCAGTGAAGAAATAGACTCAGCTGCCTTACTTCTGTCAGACAATGCATCATTAAGTTGAGCCTCCAAACTCTCTATATTCTGCACAAATAAATATCAAGTTGAAGTCAAAGCACAACTAGATTCTAAATACAAAGAACAGATTATATAATTTAACCTTTTATTCAGAAAAAGAAGAAATTTGGCGTGGGCTAAAAGAATGTATAAGGATATGGTGTCCTCTTAAAAGATAAAGTATGAAAACAGTCAGCCAAAAATGCTAGAGCACATGTACCTTTTGGTGCTTAGCAGAGAGCTCAACTAGTGCAGCTTGCCTTTTTTCTTCAGCAGCCTGAAGCAACCCTCTCATATCCTCCAACATCTGAGTTACCAATTTTATTCAAGGAACATAGTTATATATAACTACTTTTAAATTATGTGGTACCAAATGAACATACCCAAAAGTTTCATGACAGTTATTGCTGCAGACAAAAGTGGAAAAAATAGGACTCAGTCCAGAACACCGCTCAAAGTAACGGGGTAGACACATGATCCAATGAAAAGGCAAATATGAATATATTTTGGCCTACACGTAATTTTGTACTTGAGAAACAATTTGGGTATACAATTCAGTTTGCTTTTGAACAAGTCAAACGCAAATCGTTTTGTTTATTTAGTTTACAACCATAAATAGATAATGCAGTTAAGTTACATACACAAACATCCACATGAGACAGTTGCCATAATCAGACATCATCAAGAAAGAGCACGAATAAATGTACAGGAGATCTTATATAGAATTGTGTTTATATATACATATCGAGACCTAAAAGAAATAAACCACTTCAATAATGAAAATGAAAAAAGTGTGTACCTGTTCCTTTTCTGCAAGTGATTGTTGCAATGCTTCAAGAGCACTCTCTTTAGGTTGCAATGAACGCTTTAAATCTTCAATGGTATCTCGAAGACTATGCAACATACATTTTTACATCAATAATTACAAATGGGTGTTAGAGTGAGTATATACATAGGGTCTGATTGGAAAAGTTTCTCTATAAGGATTTCTGAGAGAAAAATACAAAGAAAAAAATGAAATTGTTTTCTCTGTAAGTTAAAATCAGTTATGCACAAACTAATTTGTAGAAGCTCTTATATAACTTCTCCATATTTTTATTTAAACTTGTGCATAAACTAATTTTAACTAATGGAAAAGTCAATTTCATTTTTTCTTTATATTTTTCTCTCTAAGAAAGTCAATTTGTAGAAACCCAACCAAAAAGGTCCATAGTCTATAGTGGAGTCTAGTCACATACATTAGTTATGACATATTATAGCATATTTATAACAAACATTCTTAGGAAATCACTAATCAATATGGAACAATGATCCCAATAAATATGACAAAAAACACTACCTCCCATGCATGTGTGCCTTTCTTTGCAAGTCATAATTAAAATTTAAAATGAAAAGAAGTAAAACCAGCAATGCATGAATAAAAATCGGTTGAAATGAAAGCTGGTAGAAGTTGTTGCAATTAGACCATTGCAGCACAAATAACCTTTAAATGAGGTGTGGATGAACTATTACTTGCACCATTTATTATTTCTCATATCAGTCTTACAGAGAAAGATAATTGAGAAAATAACTTCACATGAAACAAAACTAAAGAGGCACAAGTTTCCAACTAATGGGTGTATTCATTAATCATCATGGTGAAAAGTAAATTGGTGTCCTTACTTGTTGTTTGCACTTCTTAGTTGTTGTCTATCACCATCCATGGCTTTCAATGCCTCATTTGCTTGCTTCCTGGTACGCTCTAATTCTTGTTGCATTGCTAACTGTTGGGATGATGCTCGCTCTGCAATTTCATTCACCTCAGAGAAACGGGCCTCGATATCATCTTTTTCCTGTGAATGAAATTTCCCAAGTAAGACTAAACACATAAATTAATTCAATGAAGTTCCGTTAGAGTGTAAGTTGTTTCAATGGATTTTGCTGAAGTACTAAACAAGAACTTCCTGACTTATTGTGCTTTTACATAAGAATTCCAGGGTCCAGAGTTCATCATTAAAAGACAGCCAATGTACTCTCTTTACAAAATTTCTATCATAAGACAGTAATACGATTTACAAAGACCATTAATTAGGCTGCATTGCACAAATTTTAGAGGGAGGAATGGAAGAGCTTAAGTATGGCAACTAGATCAGCAGTTTGTGAAAAAAGATTGTTATAAGTAGTACCGCTTCTAGAAAATTTTTTTTTTATCAGCACATAAAAATTAAAAGGAAATAATGTAGAATCACCTTTTGAATTTCTTGAATACGCTGTTTTGCTCGCTTGTGAAGCCTATTAAACTTGGAGTCAAGTTCAGAATACTTCTCATCACGCTCTTTTATTTCTTGGTCCAACTTCGTTTGAGCTACACAAGAAAAGACAATGCAATGCATTCATTCCTTCTACGAAAGATAAAGCCGTTTGGAGCAATGTTAATTTTCTTTAGCATGTATGATATCAGGAGCCACTACACATTTTGTTTATATTTATACATTCTTAAACTGCAAGAAGAAAAATAATTCAATCTGTAGGTGAAGGAATCGGTCTTAGAGGCAAAACTGGCTTCCGAGCAACTAATAATACAGATAGTAATATTTAATGTAAGTCAAGTTGGTTTATTTATAATTGATGAATCACTCTCACTGTTTAACACAATCATAACCATACCTTCTGCAAGCTTTTCAGAGAGCTCCTGGCCCTTTGCTTCTGCCTCTGAGTATGCCACTTGAAGATGCTTCAAAGCCTCCTCTGATGCAATTCTTGTTTGCTTTTCTTCCAGAAATTCTTTATTCAACAATAGTATTTTTTCCTTTAGTTCTTTCACAATGTCAGAATCCCCATCTTCTAAGCCACCAACTCCTTTCTGTATACTAGAATCACTATGTACACTGTTTACAATTTTCAATCCCTCAAACTGGGACTTTAAGTAGTCATTCTGAAACCTGAGGTCCATAACCATTTCTAGAAGCTGATCGTCAGTATCAGCAGGACCTTGATTACCATCAGACAATCCATTTTCCAATACAATATTTCCATTGCTTCCATCTTCGTAATGATGATCCTCATCAGGAAAATGCTCCTCAGGTCTAACAGAATCTTCCGCGTGAGTGTCCATCATTCCACCAGTATCCCCTTCACCCGATGCAATCGACCTCTTGCAGCACAGGTCTTACCAGCATAAGCTGCAATTGGACAGTCATTAACCATGATGAACACACTGTGTTACGAAATACAGACACAAACTTACAACCGCGCATTGATTCATAATCACTTAAAGATTTGCAAATTAAAGAGCATAACATCCACACGCACGTATTATTTAAAAATTCAATCACAAATCCCAAAGGCAAATGGAGCATTAAAATATTTCAATTACTTCCACTTGACCATTGAAATGCTCCACGCATGAAAACCCATACAGTCGAATCAATCACGATTTTTCACCATAAGAAATAACCAGGTTACCAAATCAGCTAGAGAGAACGTAAAACAGAGCTAATTCTGGTGGCATTTGATTCTCCTCCTAAAATACTTTGTGATGCGTGCAACAGAATTGGAATTCAATGCGAAACAAGTAACGTCGTTGAATTAGAATAGATATCCAAGAATGAAGGTTCCACAATTGAATGTACCTGAGTGTAGCGAACCTGTGTTACAGAATGAATGATAGGCAGAATTTGGCAAATAAAAGACGCAGAATCGATTTGAGGGCGAGAAGCGCCGGTGGAGGTGAGATCGCCGGTGGCAGAACGGATCTCACGCCGGCGTGCAAGCGAAGGAGAGCAGAAAACGTTGCCGTTTCAGAATGTCCCTGACACTGACTAATACAAACTTGGGAAGAGGATTTGGATCCAGAATAAGGATGTAATATTTTCATTCGACAAGGGTATTTGAGTAATCTGCTCGTACTGATTTTCGGCTTTTAGAAATTTAAAATTTAGATTAAAATGTACTTATCACGCTTCCATATTTGTAAGAAATAAATATTTAATAAAAATTTATTACACTTAACTACTCAAAGTACATTTACAAGGAAAAACTAGGCCAAAATAAAAGGTTAATAATGGGAGGAGTATAATTCAAATACTATGAGTTTATTTTGAAAAATGTATTGACTTAAACAAAATATAAAGACAAACACACAAAAATAAAATAATTATAATACTTTATTTAAATTTCTAAATAAGTTCATGTCAAAAATATTTATATTACGGGTAGATTTTATTTAAAAACTACAAAATAAAAATATAAGAACCGTAGTATATTAGGTTTTCTTGTAGTATTTGTAATATTTTATTTAAAAAGAACTGTATTTTATCTTTGTATTACATTGAATAAATATTCTTAATGACTATAAATTATAATAAAATATGTAAATTACATTATAATTAAAACATATAAGACATAGAAAATATCGTTTTAATTATAATAAATAATTTATATTGTTATTTTTAATAAGTGATGTTTTCTTAAAAAATATTAAAACTGATAAAATAGAAAAAAAAAATTACATTAAACTATTCAGATAACGTTAAACAAAGCATATGCATGTTAATAAGAAAACAAATCATATGCATATTCAGGGTATAGTTACATCTAGTTATATCACTTATTAAATTATTTATTTGGTGTTAAGAAACAAGAGGACATATTATACGTGAAATTCTCCTCTCCATTAAGCATAATATTTTGTTGGAGTTGAATGTGTTAGAGTGAAGAAATGCCAGATGTGAGAAATAAACAGTGTTATAACTTTCATACAGGTTTAACAGTTTTTTTTTTTCTGTTTCATCTTTGTTTTTCTTTTCTCACTAATTTTAATTTTTTAGGTTTAGTGTTATAAGAGGTTAAATATGTTTTAATTTTAAACTAAAATTAAAATTTATTTTTATATCAAATTTGAATAGTATTGAATAATTTTCTTATAAGCTTATTTAAATAGTATTTTCTTAAAATTAATTTTAGTTAAAATTAAATAAATAACGCATAATCATTGCCAAATTATATAATACATGAAAAATGATTTTTTTTCTTAGGTGAGGGAAGAAAATACAAATAAAACGTCCTCTACATTAACAAGGAGTTTTGATTTTTAACTGCATGGGGAAAATCTAATTAACTAAATATATTTGAAGAGCTAAATAGGAGATGGAACAGGACAAAAAAAGTAAAGTTAAAAGGCAGAAACTTGATTAAATAGCATCTGCTTTGTCTATAGATATTTGTTATACTGGTGCAACAACTACGGCACTCAGCATCACAATCTGACATTATGAAAAGTATAAAGTACTATTGATACACAGATTCCACGTTATCATTTTCAACTGATCCTGATTCTAATATTATTTATAATATAATATCATCCCTCCTTTGAAGGTAATCAATGTCAAATGAGATCTACGCTGCCGAACCTCTCAATTGTTCACTTCATTTCTATCTGGATTTTGAGCTCCTGGAACATTTTATGATATTCAGCTTTTAGATAGACAAGAAGGGGGAACTGAAAAAGCTTCGTAAACAACATAAACGACGTAACAAGTACACCAACAAGTGGAATTTGAATCAGTGAAATTTTTTAGTCTAGTGGAAATTTGTTCTCATATTCAAACAGTATTATAAGACAAGAAAGCTAACCATTGGGCTTTTCATCTCTGAAGTTAGTAGCTACTTGTGTGAAAAAATCTTTAGTAGCATCTGCAGAATCACAAATTATGCCAAATAAGGATCACTTGACATGCACACTGAAATATTGTGATGGCAATAACAGTTTTTATACAAAAATTGGCTAGCTCATAAGAAACAAGTTAAAATGGCTGTAGAAACCAAAGCAGGATATTCAACAAGTACTAAACATGAAACCAAACATGCACTAAATAAGGATAAGGGGGTTCTTTATTGGTAAATTTCTTATCAAACAAATGAATTTTTTTTTTCAAATATATTTTCAATTTTTCATAGTAACAAAGGCACGTTACACTATAATCATAATATAACAGCAACTTTAGGCCAACTAATTATAATAGAAATGGTCCTAGCAGAGTGATAGATTGAATCACAGGACAAAAGAGATGGGACACTTTGAGCCGAAGACCTTTATCTTTAACAAGAGAGAGAGAGAGAGAAGTAATTCTCAAGGATAAGTCATGCTCCAAGTGTTGCTTACCATGCTTCATGGTTAAAGATGGATCATGGTCCTCTAGACCACTAATAACTTTGGCTGGTATTCCTGCCGCAATGCTACAAAATAAAGCAAACGAAACTGTTAGATATTCCCCATTCAGTTTATCATATTTCTGTTATTAAAGCTATTAGATGTAACTGACTTAGTAGCATCTCATGGTATTTTCCTATTTATAAATACATAACTCCATGTGCGCCATACACATTAAGGGTTCAACCTATGCCTCTTTCTTTTCTATTTCAACAAAAACAATAAAAGAGACATCTTTCATTACATAAAAGAATCCAGGTAGAAGATGCAAGTACTAAACATTGTGTGAAAGATATATTCACTGGTACCTGTGGGGAGGAACATCTTTTAACACGAGGGAACCTGCGGCTATCATCGCACCTTCACCAATCTTTATATTCCCAAGTATGGTTGCACTAGCTCCAATTAGTGCCCCTTCACCTACTTTGGGATGGCGATCACCAATTTCCTTTCCTGTGCCTCCTAAGGTTACACCCTGTCAAAATGAGATATATCATGCAAAGAGCATAATGAATAGACGGGTAAAAAAACCATTGTTTAAAAAAAAGGATTAATTCAAAATAATAATAAATATTATAAATCAAATTTTTAAAATTTTCTCTTCTTAGAGGTTAAGAAAACAGAAGAGTCGAAAAGTAGAATAAGATTAGCTTTTCAGAAACTGTCCTGAGGATAGTTGTATTGGATCAGTGGAGGGTTGAACAGGGAACATAAAAAAAGCTGTTAACTATTTTTACTGCCAGTCTCTTTTTGTAGAAAATATGAAGCTGTTAAGAACATGTATATTAAAATAACTCATAACCTTTTCCTCTTATGCAAGAATCAATATGTTAAAATGACATCATTTAGGAAATAATAGAAAAACAAATTAATTTGGGATTATTAAAATTTGTATAAGAGCTACCAAAACATAATCATAAAAGAAATTAATGAAGAATCACAACTCACGTGCATCAATGAAACTCTGTTTCCAATAATAGCAGTTTCACCAATAACCACACCTGTCCTATGATCTAATAAAATTCCCTCCCCAATTTTCGCAGCTATGTAGAAAAACCATAGAAACACAAAGTTCAATAATAATATTCAAAACCAAAGGGCTTCCAATATCTTCAATAGAGAGGCAAACATCCTTCAAGACAAGAATCAGATTATTATCTTGTAAAAAATGAAAAGTAAAGAAATCAACTATGTAAGTGCCACAAGATTTAAAGATTGAACCCTCATGGATACATTCTGCTTTCATAATCTCTTTTTCCTTATTCAGAAAATAAGTTGGCCAGCATAACACTAATCTGTCTGCTACATTACATTGTTTTCTTCTAATTGAAATTTATAACTGTTAGTTAATTGCTTTCCTGACATTTCCTAAAGCAAAATTATCGCATACAAACATAAAGAAAGCAAACTTCTTTGGTAATTTGTCATACATTATTTACATGGAAAAACTAAACCAATATACCTGGATGAATGTCCACTCCAAAAACCTGGGGTAAAAGACAAGGGCATGGATGATCAGAACTTCCTTGTATTTATGAGATTCATTAATGTTAAACAACTAGAAATTACCTCACTAACACGGCTTTGCAAAGCCAGGGCCAAGACTTTGCGTCCCTGGTGCCACAATGCATGGGCTACTCGATGTACTTGCAGAGCATGATAACCCTGTGGGCATAGCACAGCATTAAACGTCAAAAGGAGTTCTATAAATTTCAAAGTAGTATTTTTGAAATTAAAAAGCGATTATGAAGTTAGTCAAACTTTACTATCACGCTTAATTATATAAACAGTGCATTAGGACAGCTGCAATGTATCAGGACTGGAAACTGGAAGAGAACAGAGACTTGCCTTCATGTATAAAAGTGCGGAGCAATAGGACAAACATGCAGGGTCCCGATCTTTAAATGCCTGTTCAGAAAACGGCCAACAGAAAATTGAAATAACTCCAGCACGCACTATCCAAAACACTTTAAACAACAAGCGTTACATCAAAGACTTAATTTCATTTTTATTTCGGATTTAATTAACCAATGTCTAAAAGAAATTTAAAAAATATAAATTATGGGAGAACTAACCTAGTAAAAACTCATTACGAAGTTGGTTTTTATGCTTCCCAATTAAAAAAAAAAAAATCACTTTTAATTTCTTGATCAGTATCTGGCATAGAGTGGCGTTTATCTTTAATTTTTAGTCTGTCTGATATTAATGATGTGTGATTTTGGTTTCTCATTTTAATAGTTGTAATTTGAATCTTTGAAGTTGGTCAAGTCCCTCCATCTAAATTCTGTCCATTATTTAATTGAGCATACCATGACGGTGAGGAGGTACGAAAGTACAGTGCACTAGATGAGAAACATAGAACATTTGATAAGGAAAACTAAAAATGTAAGTAATAAGGTGTGTGTGTGTGTGTGTGTGTGAGAGAGAGAGAGAGAGACCTGAACATCAAGGCGAATGGATCGTTGGATAGGTTTGTCATACAGAATGACATTGCAGAAAATATCCATGAGCTGAGTGGCCAAGAGAGTAGCGTTTTGGAGACGGTTGGCGACGACAAAGGCCAATGATTGTTCGAAGCAATCGTGCGCCAAAATACTAGCGTACAGGAAGCTACTCAAAATCGGCTCCTTCTCGGCCTGCACGTCCATCCACGGTGCTTACACAATTTCACAAACACAATAAATGCAGTTGAAACAAAAATGAAAGAGTGAGTTTATTGAATTCACCTCGAGCTTTGCCTCCTCTCTGACAGCGTTCCAAATAGGGTCCGGTCCGTCCAATTCGGGTTCGGGTGTGGGGTCGAGGGCGCCCATGGCGTAGACGGGGAAGAGACGGTAGGCAGAGGAGAGAGAGGGGACGTTAATGGGGTTTGAGTCGGCGTCATCGTGGAGACGACGGTGGTGAGCGGAGAGAGGGCAGCGTTGGAGCATGTCTTGGGTAGTGAGCCAGGCGCGGTGGTGGTGGCGGCTGAGACAAGCCATGGCTAGGGTTGAAATAGGAGAAAAAAAAAGGGAGAGAAAGATAAACCGTCGTGAGATTGAGGTGATCCTCTCCTCGTGCTCTGCTTTAGATTGTGCAGATTGTGCCGTTTGCACCTCCCCTAACTGTTCTTACATAGTGATGCTACAGAAATTAAATTTAATTCTTGTGATGGTTAACTATTTAGTAACATACTAAGATTTTCATGGTCCTCAAAATAATAATAATAAAATAATCAAAAAAAAAGATGATATTGAAAGGATTACTATGTGATGATGATAAAGGAGAGGTGGTGATGAAAAAAAAAATGAAAGCAACTAGCTTAAAAAAATGTGGCATTCTGAATGGCTGAGGATGTTCAACATGCCCAGACAAACAACTTTCAAAATCATAAATGAAAAAAAAAGTAAGGTTGCCTCATGCGCATGTCCTGTCCCTACATGTTAACTCTCATTTTTTTTTGCATATAGAATATACAGTGTTATTCTTTTTATGAATAGTTTTAAACTATATTGTAATATTGTTTTACTGTTAATCTTGTTTACTTAATTAAACATAGAATCATCATTAGCAAAATACTAATCTCTAAATCATTTGACAAATACATTGAATTAGTTAAAATAATTTACTTTAGAAAGTCATACATCACTTGGTAATAGTAATTATATAATAAAACTAAATTCCACAATATTTAAACATTTTAATAAAAATACTTTAGGCTGTTATTTAATTTTTTTATATATATTTTTATAATAGAATATTATGAGATTTGATTTAAATTATTGAAAATGGCGTCAATCGTTTTATAAGTTGATATTTTATAAATCGGATTCATGTTTCATCAGTTTTTAAGTGAATATCTAAATATTATTAAAATTATTTGGTTTTTATAACTAATTTAACCGATTGTCAGATAATATTAAATATAAATAAGAAAGATTGAGTAAAAAAATCCGTAAATTATTTATTTTAAGATTTTTTCATTAAAGATAGTATAATTCTCTTATATGTTATGATGTATCTTTAATGAATTCTTAAAAAAATCTACTAATTGATATTCTAGTTTTGATACTCATAAATATATAAATAATGTGAATTCTTTATATTTGAATTATATTCATTTCTCATTAACATTATACTTTTAATTTTTTTAATGTGAGGAGACTTATCACTTATTACCTCTAATTTTAGCTGAGATGATTGAAAAATACAAGAAATGAAAATTTACGTGGCATTAATAAAATTGATAGCGAAAGTGAGTGTGAATAGTACGGAAAGAAAGTAAAATATACAGCACATGATTGAGTTGATAGTGGAGAAACCCATGGTGCAAAAACACGACAAAGAGAACCGACGTGAGTGGAAGTTGAGTTTGGCAAAAGCAGAGAATGATTGAGCACAATAAAATATTATATGACAAAGTAATTATTAAGAAATGAAGTTGTCTTGTCCTCTAGCTGGGTCAAGTAGTGGAAGAGGCACCGTCAATTTTCCACAACTCACTTTTCTTTCATAATTTGTTGTGTTCGATGCAAATCTTCACGAAGTGCTTCCTTTTTATTCTTTATGTCTCTCTATGTTATGATATACACAGTAAAAGCTGAACATCATTTGCTTCTGTTGTATGTGGTCTTATAAACGTCCAAAGACACTACCAAACTCATTGTCATTTTTATAGATAAGTAGTTAGTGTAAACATTATTCTTTTATGTACATATTTATTTTTAGAATGAATATTAATAACCCTCAAATTGTTGAATTATATTATAAGAAATAAAAGCATTTTTTTGTGCTATATAGCCTTTGGGTCATTGTTATAATTGTTAAAACGAATTTGACTCAATTAACTTGTTTAAAAATTTGTACAGTAGATATAAGGTTAAGTGAAAATAATTATGATGTAAATGTATAAGTTTATGGATAAACTTCTTTTAGAAAGTAATAATTATATTTAAAATAGTAAAAAAAATACTGTTTTACTAAAAACATACACATGAATTATACTTTATAAATAAAATAATAGTAATTTAATTTTAGTAAAATGATATTCATTTAAAAAATATATACTTTTAAAAATAGAAAAAAATAACAATTGATTCAATATACGATTCAACTAAATAAAAAAATTAATATATTAAGGTTTAATATATTTTTTTCGTACATTCAAATTATCAAACACTTAAAGTCATTTGTTTCTATTTAACGGAAGGGGTTAATTTAACTCAAAATATTAAAAATGATGATCAATTTCAAACACTTTTAAAACAAGGGACTAAATTAAGATTTGTGAACGAAACTGGAAAAAAATTGACTATTAAACCTTAAAAAAATCTACAAGTTCATAAAATAAGAAAAAAATTATAAAACTAAAATGCCAACAAAAACTATATAGATTAAGGTAAGTACATAGATCATTTTTAAAGTAGAAAAGTTAATTAAAAATAAAATATATTTACTTAAAAAATTCTTTATACACATGAAATATATATTTACTTAGTTAAAAACTAAAACACTAGTGCAAAAATAACATTACGGGTTTAACGTCTAATGAAAAGAATGTAAAAAATGACCGGTGACAATTTTATAAAAAAACGTTATTATAGAAGTCGGTTACATGGGTTTCCGACGTCAAATAAGATATAAACGTCAGCTCCCCCAGGTCAGACGTCAAATGGTATGCATACAAAACTAAAATATCAATATTTGATTGCCATTAGACGTCCGTTACAGGCCCCCGAATGTCTAATTCGAATTAGACGTCGGCTCCCCTCTCCACGGACGTCACAAATGTCCGAGAACATCTTAATTTAAACGTCAATATTAATTTTTTTACCATTTAAACGTAAGCTCCCTCTCCACAAACCTAAAAGAGGTGCGAAATTACCTTATTTGGGCACCAATATTAATTTTTTTATGACTTAGACGTCAACTCTCTCCCCACAGATGTCAAAAAGGTGTGAAATTACCTCATTTGGGCACCAATATTAATTTTTTTGTCACTTAGATGTCGGGCCCCTCCCACTGAAGTAAAAAAAACGTACAAAAGTACCTCATTTTGGGCGTCAATATTAATTTTTTTTACCACTTAGGCGTCCGCTTGGAAGGGGAACCGGAGTCTTAGACCACTTAAACGTCATTTGGGAACGGGGGTTGACGTCAAATACCCTACATTTTCACCCACTCTAGAACGCCAGCACCAATTACATGTTTTCTCGTTGCGTTCAACTTCTTCCTCTGCTTTCTCTTGTTCGTCATTAACATACAAATAAGTTTTCTTTCACTTTGCACCGTTTAAAATCATTTTGCACCGATTATATTACGTTTTGAATCATTATCTTTCATTTACACCGATTAAAATTCGTTTTCATTGGCTTTTGGTGTAGTTATTGGGTGCGTTCTAGGTCAATATGGTGGCGATTTTCAGACCGTTATTGTGTGTTTTTCTCCTCACCCTCACAGCGGCACCTGTCTACTCATTCACCTTCACGGTTAGTTTCATTTATGGTTTTTTATATTAGTTGTTGCATTTTCATTGGCTGTTACACATTTTATTGGTTATTACTACTTCTAAAATTCTAGAAATTTTTGTGGTGTATTGTTGTGTTGTATATTGATTTTTCAAGGTTTCAGTGGAAGAAAATATTGACGAATTTTTTTAAAAGAAAAATCCCATAAATTGACGTATGTTGTTCATACAACAGACGTCAATTAACGTTTGTTATATGACAACATACGTCAATTAATGTCTACTCAAGGACAATATATGTCAATTTAACGTCTTCCGCTATGACGTCAAGCATTTAATAGACGTCAAAAACCTAAAATAACAAACGTTAAAAGCTATTTTTGTGTTAGTGATATAATCAACATCGAATTGAACATAGGGTAACTTGGGACAAGCTAATATCATTTTAAGTTTATCAACACAGGCCTATGTTAAGTCAGAACTAATCAAATTCAAGTCAAACTAATATAAGTCTAATTCAAGTCAGGTTCAACACAAGTTAGGACAAATTAAGTTAGACTAAGTCTTGGTTAAAGAAAGTATAGATTTGAACAAGTTAAATAAAGCTAAGATGACTCATATCGGTTGGACCCATGTTGGCTGAGTTAAATCATACTTAAGTCAAGTTGATTAAGTTAGAGAACATGTCTATTTAAGTCAGTCTCAAGTGAAGATAAATAGGGTTAAGTTAGGCTCAAAATAAGTCATTCGAATTAAGCTTATGCAAGGTTGAGTTTAAGTCATGTCAATGTTGTTAGGGTTCTCATCATGTTGATTTGAATTAAGTCCACATAGTCGAGTTGGGCCCATTCAAACCAAGTTAAACCTTGCCCATGATGGCCTAGTTAAATCTTGTCCACAAAGGGTTGAGTTAAGTCAAACCCACACAGGGTTGAGTCGCGTTAGACACAGTTAAAGACAAGTTGAGCAAGACCCATGTGGTCCATGACAAACCAATTAGAGTCGGATCCACATTTAATCCATTTAAGTTCGGCCCACATTAGGCCCACGAAAAACCTAGTTAAGACAAATTCCCTTGGATAAACTCATTTTGTCTAACCTCATATTGAGTTGAGTTAGATGTACTTTAAGTTGAGCTAATATAGGTGTCCTCCTTAGTCTCAATTGAATTGGACCCCCTCAATCAACTCATTTTAGGCCCACCTTTGGTTGAGTTGAGTTAGGTTTACCTCAAACTAAGTTGATTTGGGATCACCTTAGACTTAATTGAATCAGATTACCTCAAGACGAGTCGATTTAGGCCCATATCAAGCTATGGTAAGTATGGTTTGTGTCAAGCTCAGATAAAATTGACTCAAACCCACTTCGGGCCGAGCTTATACAAATTCACATCAGGTTAAGTCTGGTTGGGCCACCTTGAGTTTAGAGTCCATACCATTTTAGGTAGATTTAAGTCTGTTTCACCTCATATTGAATCGATTCAAACCCATTTAAGTCGAGTTAAGTTGAGCTCACATTAGATTGATTAAAGTTATGTACATGTTAGGTCGAGTAAAGTTGGGTCATGTTGAATTGAGTAAAGTTAGACTGATGTTGGATTGAGTCCATTTAGGCTAAATTAAGCCTTGTAAAAATCGGTCCACCGTAGACCAAGAGTAGTTTTTGTCTAATTGAGTCAAGTCGAAACTA